AGGGAGGGAGGGTGGAAGAGACAGAGAGATAAGGAAGAAATATCGATGTGAGATCCACTGGTTGCCTCCTGCATGCACTGGGGGCGGAGAGCCCACAACCCAGGTACATGACCTTGACGGAGTTGAACCTACGGCCTTTCGGTGTTGCTCTAACCACTGAACAACATTGGTCAGGGCTGAAGTCTTTAAAAAATGTTTTATATATAAGTGTTACTGAACTCAAGGGGTTTGCTGCTGGGGTGCTCTATTCAAGAAGGAGAAGTGGTTGGAGCAGGTAGCTTCATTTTCTTGCAGCAAGTAAAGGAGATGGGAATCGTATTCAAAGGGAGGCTTAGCTATTGCTTATGTATGCTGTTTGGTTAATTACATGTTGATTTCTCCTTGGCAGTTGGCTATACTTATGAGGTTTATCCTGTTTACAGCTGCAGCTGCAAAATTCTGAGCTGCATTTTAACATTTAGCAAGAAATAACATTTAGTGATAACATTTAGAACTGCCCAGACCTTGAGACCCTTGTCCTATTTAAACATAAGGGTCAGGACATTCTTATACTGCATTTTGATTTCTCTGGAGTTTCTGCTGCCTTCTTTCTTTTTAAAAAAAATATGTTTTTATTGATTTCGGGGAGGAAGGGAGAGGGAAAGAGAGATGGAAACATCAATGATGAGAGAGAATCACTGATTGACTGTCTCCTGCACGCTCTCTTCTGGGGAGGGAGCCTACAAGCCAGGCATGTGCCCTTGACTGGAATCGAACCTGGGACCCTTCAGTCCTCAGGTCGACGCTCTACCCACTGAGCCAAGCCAGCTAGGGCTGCTGCCTTTTTTCTTATTGACAAGAGTGATGTGCTTTCATCACAACCTCAGATTTACCTGGTTCCCAGTCGTGCTCTCTGTTATGTGGGATTCCTCACTTTTCCTGGAGCCATCCAGCTGGTTGATGACCTAGGCTTCATTGTGAGACCTTCTTTGCAATCCTGAGTTGGAGCCCTTATTTCTTGTACCTTGTGCTTCTAGGTCTTGGTTTTGTTTCTTCTTTTGTAACTGTCTCAGGAAGTGTGTGGGAGGTAACCCCCCTGAGTTGTTCTATGAGAAAAAAGTTCTCTCATTTCCTGAATTATCTGTTTCCCCTCAGTTCAGTAGGTCCTAGGATTTTCTTATTCATGCTACTTACTGGGTTTTCTCATTTGTCTGGATGGTTCTTGGTTGCCCATTCATATCTAAGATGGAAGGGCTGACGATGATTATTTTAGGGAGCAAGGCTCTCCCCAACAGGTCCCATCAGCTCCCTACTCTTTGATGTGGAGCCTATACTGAACTTTAAAAGTGCCTGTGAATGTGGCTTGGCATGCATCAGACTGATAATTTTGTCTAGCTGAGAATAATAGATTTATAACCTTTGTTTAATATATGGTGGTGCATTGTGAGGTAGAAATAAACTACCCACAAATCATTTTGCATACTTAATTCTGAAATAGGAATTTAGATGTTAAAGTGATACCTTGAAAGTAAAGAAGGAATAATGACAGGTTATAAGTCAATTCAAATATTTGTTGGATTTTTGGTGTGTTTCATGTTTCTGGTGATGCAGAAAGTATCCTATATAATAAAAGCCTAATATGCTAAGTGCCCGGTTGTCCGGTCATCCGTTCAACCAATCAAAGTGTAATATGCTGATTATATGCTAAGGCTGCTCAACTGCTTGCTATGATGTGCACTGACCACCAGGGGGCAGAAGGTCTGACCAGTAGGTTATGTTGCTGATGGGATCTGGCCGATCAAGACTGAGCAAGATGGGCTGGACATGCCCTGGAGCCCTCCCCGGCTGGCCAACCTCTCCTGTCCCTCCCTGGCCCGATAGTGCACTGGTGGGGTCCCTCGGCCTGGCCTGCTCCCTCTCGCAATCTGGGACCCCTTGGGGGATGTCAGAGAGCTGGTTTTGGCCTGATCCTGCAGGCCAGGCCAAGAGACCCCACTGGTGCACGAATTCGTGCACTGGGCCTCTAGTTTATAAATAAGACAGAGGTCCTGCCTTCAAGGAGCAAGCTGGAGAGACTTAATCTTTCACTTTTCTTTATGTCCTTTTTGTTTTAAGTTAAACTTTACTTGTGTTATTCTGATCTTCATTACATTTTGCAAAAACATAATTTTTCGGATTATGTAGTAGAAACTGAATATTTGAGCTGCACATTGATACATGGTTGGCAGTGTTCAAATGGCAAGTGCATTTATCCAAATTTGAGAATCAGTGCCAATAGTTTATTTAGGACTGGCTTCATAGATTTAAAAAAAATTTTTTTTTATTGATTTTTTAGAGAGAGGAAGGGAGAGGGATAGAGTGTTAAAAACATAGATGAGAGAGAAACATCGATCAGCTGCCTCCTGCACACTCCCTACTGGGGATGTGCCTGCAACCAAGGTACATGCTTTTGACCGGAATCAAACCTGGGACCCTTCAGTCCGTGGGCCGACGCTCTGTCCACTGAGCCAAACTGGTTAGGGCTGTAGATTTTAATTGTAATCAGTATTTTTTTTGGCACTTTGGGGAAAGATCTTGTCTAGAGCATACAGGGGACATAATGATTATTGCCTCACCCTTAGATGCTTCTCATGACCTGTAATTATATCTTCATTTGGCTTGTTAATATGTCCCTTTCCTCAAGGGTACTTAGGCAGTAACTCTCAGAAGTTATTGATACTATAAGGTGATGCCTTTAAGTGCTTTGGATTTTCTTTTGAAATACAAATACCTCTTTCTGCCGGATTAGCCTCACCCTCATTCTTACCTTACTACAAATTAAATTACAGTTACAAATAAGATTATTCCTACATTTGGGAAAATAGAGTGGGAATTGGGAGCCTTGATGAAGGAATAGGATTATAAAATTAATCAGTATTATTTACTAATCAGAAACATACTTGAAAAAAACATAGTCTAGTCCAAACTCTCATTAAATGAAAAAAACTGTTACTTAAAAGACATTTAGCAGGTTTGAGATTTTAATGGTAGAATTGGAACCCTAGACTCCAGTCTCAACAGCACTCCCAAGTCTGGGGGGGGATTTGCATTTTAATGTGTTATCATATTTTAAGGATATCTTCGAGAGTAGAATAATACAAACAAAAATGTGCCAGTGTAAGGGTAATCAGATTACAGGAGGGGTGCGTGTGGTGCACTAAATATTTGTCCAGTACTTAATGTTTGATACATAGTAGGTGCTTAGTAAACATTTGCAAGCATTCTGTACTTTCTACAAACATTTGCAAGCATTCTGTACTTTCATGTTATGCTTGATGCCATGAAGGGATGCAAAATACGGAAAGGATCCATCTCTTTTCAAAGAACTCTTAGGCTGATTGGTAATTTAAAATAATTGGAAGATTGACTAACAGATGTCAAAAGTAATAGATGGTGTAGTCAGGAGAGACTTGACTAAAACATAAAAAATTGCAGTAGGCCACAAAGGAATGAAAGTAAGTGCACATAACTACATGCTAATTTTACTCACTGGAAACCATTTTGAAATTGAAGTTCTGTATTTGTTCTTGTCTGTGACTTTTTGCTAAACCTTCATGAATAGCATTCTACAACTCTAAGTTTTTATTAATTTGCTTTTAAAGCTGGTCTTGAATTCTTGCTGCCTGGTATGGATTAGGTTGAATCAATTTTGGTTTAATTTAGTAAGTACAGTATTAGAGTATCTGCTAATGTGTAAGCAGTGTGCCCGGGTAGAAAAAAGTCAGAATAATGCATAGCCTAATAAGGGGACATGGAAGTGTAAGCTGTGTGGTAAATATATTCATGAAAGCTTGTGAGGGTATAGAGGTAGCCAAGAGTGTGGGAGATGTTAGTGCGATCTGGGTGAGGGTGAGAAAGGCTTTCTGGGAAAGATGACAGCTAGGTTTTTAAATTTTTTTTATTTCAGAGAGGAAAGGAGAGGGGAGAGAGAAACATCAGTGATGAGACAGAATCATTGATTGGCTGCCTCCTGCACGCCCCCTACTGGGGATCAAACCCACAACCCAGGCATGTGCCCTTGACTGGAATTGAACCTGGGACCCTTTAGTCCACAGGCTGACACTCTATCCACTGAGCCAAACCAGCTAGGGCTGACAGTTAGGTTTTAAAGTATAAATAGAAGCTCTCCAAATATACAAAGAAGGGAGAGCCATTCCAGGTAGAGAAAACATCCTGAACTGAAACAGAATGGTGTGTTAAGACAACTTTGAACAGGATTGCTGGATATAAAGTGGGATGCTTGGGGAGGGGATTATAGGAGGTAAGACTCTTACAGAACTTTGCTTCTTAAAGTTAGGCATGGTATGGAGCTCACTGTCTTTGGTATTCCATTTGTCCTTGACAATCAATTGGGAGTTTTAGGTAGTCAGTCCAAATGCAAGGTTAATTAAATAGGCATTTTTTTCCTACCTGCTCTGAACGCCTTGGGAGAAGAACCAAATGAAAGAACATTAAAGTTGGAGGATTAGTGGATTTAATGGAAGAAGCTTTGTATTTAAAAGAGAATTAACAGGAAGGTTTTAGAAATGCAATAAAAGTAACTTATTGAAAACGTGGTATATGATCTCCTAGCACGATGACCTGGCTTAAGTGTCTCCAGCAGGTGTTTTGAAGCAGTTATACAACAGAGAAAGGCATGCAGTAGAATTAGTTCTGACAATAAGCTTGTTACTGGCACCTGATTTCCAGAAGATCAGTTGGCTTTAAGCCAACTGCTGGAGCCCTGTGTGCAGGATGATTCTGTTGGGCCAATTCACCAGAACCTAGGGCTGCTGTGACCAGAAGTGCTTTATACCTAAGAACTTTGTTGATCTCCTGTCCTATCGTGACCTCACCCACAATATTGGTGGTCCCCAATAGGGGGTAGTGAAGTGATTTATATGCCTGAGTTACAATAAAGAGTTAACCACTCTTAGAATCTTCCATGTTTAACTTCCTCCAAAATGCTGCAGATTTATAAGTGTGTTTTTAATATTTCACAGGCTTTCTTGATCATGGATGGTCAAGATATACCAGATTTTTCAAGTTTAAAGGAGGAAATTGCTTATTGGAAGGAACTGTCCTTAAAGTATAAACAAAGGTAATGTTGAAAAACATCCTAAAAATAGGGGAGGGCATTTGGAATGCACCATCTCTAGCATGTGCATTTTTTTTTAAACATAAAGCTAAAATGAAGAGTTTCAGATTTCGGATTGGAATTCTAGAGCTAGTCATAACATTGCTTGTATTTAAATAGTACAAAAATGCCATTAATCCTTATTATATTACTCAAGTTATTAAAATAGTAAGAAAACTTAGTGTCACTGATTTTTTTTTTTTCCTGGTAGCTTAAATCCTTTTATGCTTATTATTCTAATTGGCCATGTTTGGCCTGCTGCGGGTGCACTGCTGCCTCATCATTTCCGTCTTTTGGAGATTCTGGTAGGCTGGCTGAGACTTCAGATAGCAGACCTGAGTTCTCCTCAGGCAAACACTATCAGTGTCTGCAGCCAGAAAAGCTTTGAGGGAGGGGAGAAGAGCTTCAGGTGTATGGAGCATTTTATAAAATCTCAGTTATTTTAATTAGTTGGGAGAATTTTTACATGATCTTGTGAGCACCAAGACTTGGCTTAAATTTTTTTTTTAAATGGAATTTTTCTAAAATAAATATACATTTTCATACTTTGATTAACAGAGTTTTCTAAGTCTTATTAAACCTTTTATTGCTATTCCATTGCTATTGCTGAAGTTAGTTATATTGTGCCAGTGGATATAAAAGGTGGGTGTCTATGGCAGGGGTTCTTTTTTTTCTTCTTTTTTAAAATGTATTTTTATTGATTTCAGAGAGGAAAGGAGAGGGAGAGAGATAGAAACATCATTGATGAGAGGGAATCATTGATTGGCTGCCTCTTGCACGCCCCCTACTGGGGACCAAGCCCACAACTAGGGCATGTGCCCTGATCGGAAATCAAACTGTGACCTCCTGGTTCATAGATTGACGCTCAACCCCTGAGGCACATTAGCCAGGCTATGGCAGAGGTTCTTGTTTTTTGTGTGCCATAGATTCCTTAATAGGCTGGGGAAACCTGCAGACCCCTTCTCGAATAATGTTTTTAAATGCATAAAATTAAATAATAGAATTACAAAGGAAACCAATTATATTGAAAAACTTATCTAATAATAAACTGATTTGCAATATAGTAATATGTGCTTCTTTATTAATACACTAGAGGCCTGGTGCACGCAAATTCATGCACTCGGGGGGAGGGGGTGTCCCTCAGCCCGGTCTGTGCCCACTTGCAGTTCGGGAGCCCTTGGGAGATGTCCAACTGATGGCGGGGAGTGGGCCTAAGTCATAGTCGGACATCCTTAGCGCTGCCGTGGAGGCAGGAGAGGCTCCCGCCACTGCTGCTGCGCTCGCCAGCCATCAGCCTGGCTTGTGGCTGAGCAGTGCTTCCTCTGTGGGAGCGCACTGACAACCAGGGGGCAGCTACGGCCCTGCCCCCCATCACCCCACCACCGCTGGTCACCACTGCCCCCCCAATCGCCGTCCCCTTCCTCTGCCCACTGGCACCCGCTTTGGCTGGCGCTGTCCGCTCGCCAGCCCCGCCCCCTGCCAACCAGTCGTTCCACCGTTTGGTCGATTTGCATATTAGGCTTTTATTATATAGGATTAAGTAAGGAAGAGCTAGCAGTGAGTGTATAAAATGTGAGTCCTTTTAGGGCCTTTAACTCATTTTCATTGAGCCTTGAATATAGAGTAAGAGATGTGTAAAACATTGTCTTTATTATCCTATCTAATAATAGACAAACATGGTAATTAACCGTACCTCCAACACGCTTCCCATTGGCTAATCAGGGCGGTATGCAAATTAACTGCCAACCAAGATGGCGGCCGGCAGCCAGGCAGCTGAAGCAAACA